GTTGGGTGGGTGCGTGAGTGAGTTGTTGGGTGAGTGGGTGGGTGGGTGAGTGAGTGGGCGGGTTAGTGGATGGGTGGTTGGGCTGGTGGGTGGTTGGGTGAGTGGATTGGTGGGTGGGTGAGTGGATTGGTGGGTGGGTGGGTGGGGGCTAAGTCCACTCGCGAGCGCGCAACTGACTCGCCCGGTGCGGCCTACGGCTGGCGGGCCGATGTGTCCTGGGTCTCGTGACCGGTGTGTTTGCCCAGGGCCGCCTTTGTTGACACAGCTGCGTCATCCTCAGTGACGTTTCACGTCGTAGCGGCACGCAGAGCGCCGCTTACACACGGGGGGGGCGCGCGGGTTGAGAGGGAGAGGCGGAGGTGGCACAACGCAACGCGCCTCCGTAACCTGCTCCCCCCTCCTTGCCGCCGTCGGCCCGCGGAAGAGGGTATCACAGAGCCACGTCTGAGACCAACCCTCCTATCACGTGACACACAAGGAATGGCCCGCGGATATGGTTAACATAGAGCCACGTCTGAGACCAACCCTCCTCCTATCACGTGACACTCTGGTCTAAACGGAATGGCTCGCGGATGTGGTTAACACAGAGCTACGTCTGAGACAAACCTTCCTCTATCACGTGACGCTCTGTTCCACACAGAATGTCCCGCGGATGTGGTTAACACAGAGCTACGTCTGAGACAAACCTTTCTCTATCACGTGACGCTCTGTTCCACACAGAATGTCCCGCGGATGTGGTTAACACAGAGCTACGTCTGAGACAAATCTTCCTCTATCACGTGACGCTCTGTTCCACACAGAATGTCCCGCGGATGTGGTTAACACAGAGTCTCGTCTGAGACCAACCTTCCTCTATCACGTGACGCTCTGTTCCACACAGAATGTCCCGCGGATGTGGTTAACACAGAGCTACGTCTGAGACAAACCTTCCTCTATCACGTGACGCTCTGTTCCACACAGAATGTCCCGCGGATGTGGTTAACACAGAGCTACGTCTGAGACAAACCTTCCTCTATCACGTGACGCTCTGTTCCACACAGAATGTCCCGCGGATGTGGATAACACAGAGTCTCGTCTGAGACAAACCTTCCTCTATCACGTGACGCTCTGTTCCACACAGAATGTCCCGCGGATGTGGTTAACACAGAGCTACGTCTGAGACAAACCTTCCTCTATCACGTGACGCTCTGTTCCACACAGAATGTCCCGCGGATGTGGATAACACAGAGTCTCGTCTGAGACCAACCTTCTATCACGTGACGCTTTGTTCCACACAGAATGTCCCGCGGATGTGGTTAACACAGAGCTACGTCTGAGACAAACCTTCCTCTATCACGTGACGCTCTGTTCCACACAGAATGTCCCGCGGATGTGGATAACACAGAGTCTCGTCTGAGACCAACCTTCTATCACGTGACACTCTGGTCCACACGGAATGTCCCGCGGAAGAGGGCATCACAGAGCCACGTCTGAGACCAACCCTCCTTCAATCACGTGACACTCTGTTCCACACAGAATGTCCCGCGGATGTGGATAACACAGAGCTACGTCTGGCCCCGGTTGCTCGACACAGACGAGGCTTTAACGGCGACACCAGCAGAGCAGGCCGCGTGCTATTTCGGGAATTTCCTTCTTCCTCCGCGAACGACGCGGAGGGGAGGGGATGGAATCGACAGGCGCAGAACACACGGGGGGCGATTTCAATTGTCCACTCGCCGGCTTCTTGTTTTGTGTCGTCGTTAAATTTTACGAGTTCGGCGGAGGAAAGGTGACCCACATCTTTTTTCCGCCCAGCGCAACGAAGAATTCCCGCAAACGAAAACTCTCTTCCGCTCGCAAGGCAGAGCAAAAGGAGGGGTTGGTGGAGAGGATGTCTCTGTTTTTATCGCCGTTCTTAAACACGCACGCACACACGCACCAAACGGACAGCAACTAGCAGCACTGTAATGGATAAGAGCGTCTTGGATTGAGGGCGACCCGGGTTCGATTCCAGCTCGCGGCCAACACCGGTGATGATTTTATCTGAACTGGTTCTGGGCCTCCCCTAGGTCGACTCGGCCTCAAATGAGTACCTGTTGCGGTGTGTAAACATCGCCGCTAGGGAGACAAAGGCGGCCGGGCGTGGTGTTGGCCACCCACCCCGTCGTGTGCTGTGCCCGCCTTCATAGGTGCTCGCTAACAACACTTGCCCCAGCAGTCTGTTCAGGCTATACGGGGGATCTTTGTCTTTGTTTGATTGAGAGAGTGGTTGAGGGGGTTAGTTAGTGAGTGAGTTGTCGTTATCTGCAGTGTGGTGAGTGAGTGATTGGGTGAGTAGGTGGGTGAGTGAGGGAGCGAGTCGGTGATCGAGTGGGTGGGTGAGTAGGCGATTGTGTGAGTGTGAGAGTAGGTGGGTGAGTGGGTGTGTAGGTGAGTATTTGAGTGAGTTGATGAGTGGGTCAGAGGGTGAGTAGGTGAGTGAGTAAAGGAGTGAGTGTGTGAGTGAGTGAGTGGGTGAGTAGGTGGGTGAGTAAGGGAGTGAGTGAGTGTGTGATTGGGTGAGTAGGTGGGTGAGTGAAGGAGTCGATGAGCAAGTGAGTAGGCGATTGTGTGAGAGTAGGTGGGTGAGTGGGTGAGTAGGTGGATGGGTAGGTAGGTGGATGGGTAGGTAGGTGGGTGAGTGAGTTGATGAGTGAGTAGGTGAGTAGGTGGATGGGTAGGTAGGTGGGTGAGTGAGTGGGTGATTATGTGGATGGGTAGGTAGGTGGGTGGTGAGTTGATGAGTGAGTAGGTGGATGGGTAGGTAGGTGGGTGAGTGAGTGAGTGGGTGGGTAGGTGGATGGGTAGGTAGGTAGGTGGGTGAGTGAGTGAGTTGATGAGTGAGTAGGTGAGTAGGTGGGTGAGTAGGTAGGTTGATGGGTGAGTGAGTGGGTGAGTAGGTGGGTGGGTAGGTAGATGGGTGATTGAGTGGGTGAGTGGATGAGTAGGTGGGTGGTTGAGTGAGTGGATGACTAGGTGGGTGGGTTGGTAGGTGAGTGAGTGAGTGAGTGGGTGAGTAGGTGAATGGGTAGGTAGGTGGGTGAGTGGGTGAGTAGGTGGATGGGTAGGTAGATGGGTGAGTGATTGAGTGAGTTGATGAGTGAGTAGGTGAGTAGGTGGATGGGTAGGTAGGTGGGTGAGTGAGTGAGTGAGTGGGTGAGTAGGTGGATGGGTAGGTAGGTGGGTGAGTGAGTGAGTTGATGAGTGAGTAGGTGAGTAGGTGGGTGGGTAGGTAGGTGGATGGGTGAGTGAGTGGGTGAGTAGGTGGGTGGGTAGGTAGATGGGTGATTGAGTGGGTGAGTGGATGAGTAGGTGGGTGGTTGAGTGAGTGGATGACTAGGTGGGTGGGTTGGTAGGTGAGTGAGTGAGTGAGTGGGTGAGTAGGTGAATGGGTAGGTAGGTGGGTGAGTGGGTGAGTAGGTGGATGGGTAGGTAAATGGGTGAGTGATTGAGTGAGTTGATGAGTGAGTAGGTGAGTAGGTGGATGGGTAGGTAGGTGGGTGAGTGAGTGAGTGAGTGAGTGAGTGAGTGGGTGAGTAGGTGGATGGGTAGGTAGGTGGGTGAGTGAGTGAGTTGATGAGTGAGTAGGTGAGTAGGTGGGTGGGTAGGTAGGTGGATGGGTGAGTGAGTGGGTGAGTAGGTGGGTGGGTAGGTAGATGGGTGATTGAGTGGGTGAGTGGATGAGTAGGTGAGTGGTTGAGTGAGTGGATGACTAGGTGGGTGGATTGGTAGGTGAGTGGGTAAGTTGCTGAGTGAGTGGGTGACTATGTGGGTGGGTTGGTAGGTAGGTAAGTGAGTGAGTTGCTGAGTGAGTGGATGACCAGGTGATTGTTATCTGCGCTGTGTTCAGTAGTTGAACAAAGCGTGGTGGACGAGACGAATCAGCCAGTCCCGAGTCCTCGACCCGGACTTGCAACTTGTCTGAAAGACGCCCCCGTGGTAGTAGCGATAGCAGAGGGACGAGTAGGCGACTGACCGCAGCTGAGCTAGTGCGCTGCAGTTGAATCGGTGAGAGCCGAGATCATCAATCACCCTGACGGACGCTAAACGCAGAATTCTATCGTGCGTAACGAGCGAGGCTTCGAGTGCTTGAGCGTACACAAAAGGCGGTCGTTGTGACTGCCCCTTCCCCCCACCTCTCTCTCGTGTGCCACCTCTGCCGGCTTTCAGAGGTGCTGGCAACACTGGCGAACAGCACTTGCCCCCAAAACGTCTGTTGGAGGTAGAGAGTGGGGGTGAGGACGGGGGTAGCTTGTCATTTGCATTTATAAAGGGTGCAGCAGTGGCTAGGAGATGTTGACTACCTCGCCTGGTGTGCAGGAGGTCGTGGGTTCGATCCCGACCCTGACGCCTGCTGCTGTATATTTGGAGTTTGCGTGTCTCTCTCTCATCATGAACATCACGGTGGCTAGGAGATGTTGACTACCTCGCCTGGTGTGCAGGAGGTCGTGGGTTCGATCCCGACCCTGACGCCTGCTGCTGTATATTTGGAGTTTGCGTGTCTCTCTCTCATCATGAACATCACGGTGGCTAGGAGATGTTGACTACCTCGCCTGGTGTGCAGGAGGTCGTGGGTTCGATCCCGACCCTGACGCCTGCTGCTGTATATTTGGAGTTTGCGTGTCTCTCTCTCATCATGAACATCACGGTGGCTAGGAGATGTTAACTACCTTGCCTGGTATACAGGAGGTCGTGGGTTCGAACCCGACATTGACACCTGCTGGGTTTTTACCCTCCACATTTAGAATCAACCGCCACTGCCATAAATGCCCACGCGATAATGAAGCCACTTTCGCTGAGCTATCGATTGTGATGGGCAGGGTCGCTTCTGAAAGAAGAGCTACACAGTTCAATGGGGCCTTACCTGGTACAAGTCAACACCAAAGTTCATTCATTCATCTTGCCCACCCTCTTGTTATCTCAGTACATGAGGGTGCCGTGGTGGCGTGATGTTAACTACATCGCCTGGTGTACAGCAGGTCATGCGTTCAGGTTTGCATGTTCTCCCCCGTGGTCGCGCGGATTTTTCTCCGGGTTCTCCGGGTTTTTCCCCTCCACAATCAGACCGAACGTCACGCGTTCAGAGCATTTAGCTGCTATCGTTTGTGGCCAGGTTGCTTCTGAAACAAGAAGCTCGTAGCTCAGTGGGGCCTCCTTGCCTGGTAAAAATAAGTAACAATAAATAATCGTTTTCTTTATATTTCTCCACGCAGGCGGCTCGAGCCGCGAGAGGAACGGGAACGGAGCTGTGGGGTTCCACCAGGAGAGGCGCTCGCAGACCTCGGCGGAGCCGGCCGCCACCGCTGGCCTCAAGCGACTGCGCTCCGAACGCCTGGAGGAGCAACTCTCGAAGAGGCTCGCGGTGGCGGCGGCGGTGGCGGCGCGACACCGCGTCGAGCAACGACGTCCGCCGACGTCGCCCAACGGGGCCGGGCAGAGACGACGAGGGGACGACGACGACGAGGCGGAGAGCGGGGCCGACGCTCCGGACCGCCGCCATCCCGCAGCTCCCGGCGACAATGAAATCGGTGACAGAAGCTCGCCGAACGGGAGCGGGGCTCCCCTGCTCACCGCCCCCCCTCCTCCTCCTCCTCTTGCCCCTCCTCCGCTGTGCCCCTCGACGCTGCCGGCCATCGTGAGCCAACTGGTGGCGCTGCAGCGGCAGCAGGTCCAGCAGCTGCGGCTCATCGACGAGATCCGCGAGCAGATCGTGCTCATCGCCCCGCACACGGACCTTCACGGCACGCGGGGGCAAGCGGCCGCGTCCCGCCGCCGGCGGACCTTCCCCGGGAGCCCAGCGGCTCTGCGGGGACTTCGACGGAGGGGACGAGCCGCCGCTCCCTTCCGTCCCGAGCGGCCCCGCGTCCCCGCCGCCGGCGGCCTCCTCCTCCTCCTCCCCGCGGCGCAACGGGAACGCATCGCCATTCGGCGCGGCCCCCGTCGGACTCCGCTCCCGCCTCCGCGGGACGGCCGCAGCCACCGGCGGCGATGGCACGGCGACCCGATCGATGGCCGTCCGGGGAGGCCCGCCCGGCCAGCCCGTCGCCGCTGACGATTTCGCAGACGGCCGGCGCTCTCCGGAGCGCACGCTCAGAATGGAGGTGAAGTCCGAAGCTTCGCCCTGCGAGGCGTTCGGCGGAGACGGCGGCGCCCCGGAGTGCCGCCCCGGCTCTGGCGAGCGCCGGGCGATCGGAGACCGCCAGGCTGGCCGAGCGGGCCTCGGCTCGCGCCCACGCGGTCACGGAGAGGCGTTCGCGCGCTTCGGCCACGACCCCCGCGGGGCAACCTTCAGCGGCGACAAGGACGCGGCGGCGGCGGCGATACTGGCGGCGTCGTTGCCCGGTTTCAGCGGCGATCCGGCGTCACTGTCGTCGCGCCTGGTCGGAGCGCAGGCCTCGTGGCGGCACGGGCCTCGCGGCCGCGAGCCGCCCGCCGTTCCGTTCAGCTCCGAGGGAGCGGGAGGCCGGTACGCGGCGGGAGACGCGGGCGGACCCCCGCGAGCGCCCCAGACGTCCAAGCTGCAGCAGTTGGTGGAGCGGATGGACCGCCGTCCCGCCGAGCCCAACCGCTGCTTCGTGTGCCACCGCGTGCTCAGCTGCCAGAGCGCGCTCAAGATGCACTACCGCACGCACACGGGTGAGAGGCCCTTCCAGTGCCGCGTGTGCGGCCGCGCCTTCTCCACCAAGGGCAACCTCAAGGCGCACTACTCGGTGCACAAGGGCGCCGCGGCAGTGATGCCAGATGGAGGAGAAGGAGGAGGTGGCAGCCCGGATGCCCAAGTCGAGGGGTGCGCGGGCAGGGGACGAGGAGGACGAGGAGGTCGAGGAGGTCGAGGAGGAGGAGGAGGTTGATGAGGAGGAGGAGGAGGGGGGCGGCTGCTGCGGACCGGGATGACGGGACGTCCGAGTACGGGAGCTCAGACGCGGGCGACCACGACGGGCGGCGAGCTCCCCCCGCCGCCGCCCGCTGGCCGAGCCCGGAGTCTCCGGCGCCGCGGACGACGGCCGTCGGGCCGGAGCGCCGCCAGCGGCCACGCGGCCACGGCGGCTTCGGGACGGCATCCTTGCCGAGCCCGTCGGAGAGCCCCGGGGCCTCGGCGTCGCCGCCGTCGGACGCCGGCCCCGAGCCGAGAGAGGAGGCGGGGGCCGGCGGAGCGGAGTGGTCGCGTCCCGGCGGCGGCGGCCGCCCGGCGCTCGCCGGCCGGGAGCGCGAGCGAGCGCGCTGCGTGGCGTGCCTCACGTGCGGCAAGAGCTTCTCGTGCCAGAGCGCGCTCGAGATCCACCACAGGAGCCACACGAAGGAGCGGCCCTTCCTGTGCACCTACTGCGGCCGCGGCTTCAGCACCAAGGGCAACCTGAAGCAGCACCTGATGACCCACCGCGCCGACCTGCCCGCGGACGCCGCGGCCCTGTTCGCGGCGGGCGTCGGCGGCGCGGAGCCGGGGTACTTCCCGCCCATCTCGGCGGTCGGCGGCGTCGGCGG